GGGAAATTTCCACTTGAAAGGACAAGCAGACCAACCTGGAGTGGCTAGAAGAACAGAAGATATTTCTTGAAAGAAAGACCTACAGAAAAAATATAAAACAACATAGGTAGACCGACTGTTACTATAAGAACAAGCAACTTGCTTGCCCAGGAAACATCAAGGCAAGTGGTCGGGTCCCCTCACTGCTAACCACCTTCCAAGACTAAGACTCAATGGGAATATACACTGTGATTGGTGACCACGCTTGACACCGATAAGGGGAAGTGAGGGAAAACCAGCAATGAAGCGGTGAGCTAAGCCCTACAACATTCAATAGACTTCTGTGAACCTGGGTGAAGACCTGGTTGGCCAACAGTGTGGCAAGACCTGGGACTCTAGGGCCCAGAGTCAATGACATAGCCACAGAGGAGTAGAGTGGAGAGTGAAGCGTCCAGCTGATAAGAAGAGAGGGCATATGCATAAGAACACCCACACTTGCAGATGTTGTTGTTATTGTTGTTAAGTGCCATCGAGTCGGGTCCGACCCATAGTGACCCTGTACAGGGTTTCCGAGGGTGTAAATCTTTATGGGAGTAGAAAGCCTCATCTTTCTCCTGCGGAGCGGCTGGTAGTTTCGAACCGCTGACCTTAAGGTTCGCAGCCCGATTCGTAGATAATACCCACTTATTGTGGCTTCAGTGACTGGATGATCAGAGCTCAACCAGAAGTAAAAAGAAGAGGAAAAAAAAAAAAAGTATTCTCATACAATTTGATGAACTTGACCTACACCTATGGAAGCAGTAGCTCAAAAGAGGGAACAAGTCCTTACAGCAAGAATCATTCCCACCCCCTCCACATACAGAGTAGACAGGGATGGGCAACTTAGACACTAGCTACCCAAAATGGGGGGTGGAGGGCTACAAAGGCAAGAAGTGACTGGCTTACAAGCTTTCAAGAGGGAACCTAGATCCAGAGGGCCTCCTCCAGGAAGGGAGAATCTCCAGTGAGTAGTATTCAATCTGACTAGGCAGGGCTGATGCAATGAAATGCAGACGGGTCTCTTATGATACAATAGTGAATAATTGTTATCAGGACTGATTGTGAGGGTCAGAAATGTAAAGGTAGACGTTTTATAGCAAGGAGGGGAGTGATTAACTTTTCAGTCTAGGAGCGGAGGTCCCTAGGACCATCAAGGAAGAAGAGCAGAGAGCGGGACCCTACCCAAAGAAGCAGTGATGCCTGAAATGGAGCCAGAGATGATGACATGGAGCAATGGAGCAGCTGGAGACTTTAGATCCAGAGAGGGAGAGCGACTGTGTGCTGAAGACCTGGGGGGTACAGGGGAACGATTGCATGTAGGGGATTGTAACCATGGCAATGAGACGATATACGACAGAATGAATATAAAACTAATGTTCTCCCATGTAAACTATCAACATAATTCACAATAAAACATTTAAGGAAAAAAAAAAAGAAAGAAACAGAGTGTAGCAAAATGGATAATAGAGCAGGATCTTTCATAATGATGTCTACAAGAGGCAATCAAAACAATGGAGACAGCCTAAATGTTCATCGAGAGCACACTATAAGAATGGTTAAATAATAATTGGTACATACAAATAATGGAATACTATGCAACACTGAAGAATAATGATGAATCTGGAGAATACCTCACAATATGGATGAAACTGAAGGACATTATGATGTGAAATCAATCAATCAAAGAAGATAAATATTGTATGAGACCACTGGTATAAAAAGTTAAGAAAAGGTTTTCTTGATAAAAGAAACATTCTATGATGGTTATGTGGAGGGAGTGATTATATATGCATGTTAGAGGGTAGATATTATGTTCACATGGGTGAAGAAACAGACCATATAAAAGAGGAAGGTTGCCAGAGGAAAAATGTAAGTTGTAGGAGACACAGAATACTGTTAAATAATGGTACATGGGGGGGATGGCACTCATTTTAAGGAAGCAAAATAAATGATTTCAGTTGAATGTAAAACTGGTGATCTGCTTTGCAAACCTTCACTCATGTCACAATAAAAAGTTTTTTTTATAAAAAGAGCTATCTTGAAGTACAATGCCTATAAATAATCAAGACCAGTTAATACAACTATTATTCAAATTTACACATCAACCACCAAAGTCAATGATGAATAAATTGAAGAATTCTACAACTTCTTCAATCTCAAATCGATCAAACATGCAATCAAGATACACTGATAATTACTGGAGATTGGATTGTGAAAGCTGGAAACAAAGAGGAAGGATTGAGAATTGGAAATATGGCCTTGTTGTTGCAAGACCAACAACATAGTCATTGCAAATACATTTTTTTCAACATCATAAATGGTGCCTATCCACATGGACAAATAGACACATACCCATACATGATGGAGGTAAAGTGAATGTGCCACAGTGTTAACAATAGACAATATCAACACTAAAGGTATTTGGGCGTTCATTTTAATAGACATTCAGATAGTCTCTTGTTATGAAGTATCAAGTTGGTTCTGTCTCACAGTAACACTATATATAGGGTTTCTGAGGAACGGCTGATAGGTTTGAATCACTGACCTTGTGGTTAGCAGTCTGGTGCTTATCCTACAGCACACACCAGGACTCCTGTATAGGATTTCTGAGGAGCACTGGTGGGTTTGAAACGCTGATCTTGTGGTTAGAAGTCCAGTGCCTATTCTACAGCGTCACACCAGAACTCTCAAAATATGAATGTACACAATGAAAAGGAAAGGGTGTCTTCATAATGCTAAACTGTGTTTTATTGAAAACAAGAGTTTTCAATATAAGATGGAACAAGTCAAGTGCTTTAACAATCTTTATGTTCAGTCTTTTTCTCTCTCTCCTTACTATGATTTGGGTGAAAGTTTACAGCAAATTGGTTTTCCACTCAATAATTGATACACTTTATGTTTTGTGACACTGATTACAGTCCCCACAACATAAAAACACTCTTTCCACTTCCTCCCTGCAGTTTGTTTCTATTCATCCTTCTTTCCTATCTCTTCCTGACTTCTGAGCATTATTCTTGGGTCAATGCTGCCGTTTTCATCTCATATGGTTGATTGGTTTAAAGAGGATATATCTCCCAGGTGTCATGTTCACTTTACAGGTCTGTCTAGTATTTGGTTGAAAACAGAGCCATAATGGGTGAGTTCAGTTCTAGGATTGAAAGGTGACTAGCGACCTTAGTTTTGGAGGTTCCACAGCCTCTATCAGACCAGTAATCCTGGTCTTTTTTGTGATTCAAAATTTTGCTCCATGTTTTTTTCCCACTATATTCAGGACTTTCTATGGTGCTCGTTTTTAAAACAGTCAGTAGTACTAGCCAAACACCATCTAGTTCTGGCCTCAGAGTCAACAAGACTGAGGTCATGTGGTCAATTAGTCCTTTGGACTGATTATTAGCATGAGTCTTTAATTTTCTTCACTCTTTGCTTAGATGGGTAGAGCTTAATAGCTACATATTATTACATGGGCATTCACATACTGTTTTACTTTTTTATTACTTTTATGCTATTGAATATAAAAAAATTACAACATATCTGTACTATTAAATACTTTCTATTTTCCAAAGGGTTACATTCATAAGTACTTTGGATTTGTTTATTTTCTTTCCTTTTTTTCAGATTTAGAAATAAATGTCAACTGAGATCTGTATATGACAGTGCTGCACACTATACACCAAAACAATTTTCCGCTTCTATAGGACCATATGGAGTCCTGGTGTGGCACTGCAGGTTAACATACTGGGCTGCAAAGTCAGATTGAACCACAAGATCAGAGGTTCAAGCTCATCAGCTGCTCCTTGGAAAACCTTACACAAGTTGGTTTGAGTCGGAACCGATTCCACAGCACTTCACAACAACAACAATAGAACCATATGGACTTTATATTTGGGGAGGGGTAGGTAAGGGGGAGGCACTTTCTGCAAAGACAACTGCTATGGATTGAACTGTTTCTCCCAAAATATGTTGTGAAATCTAACCTTTGAGAATGAATTTTCTATGCTATGTTAACCACAAATCAGGATTAGTGTAGGGTGCATCTTGGATCAATGTCTTTTGAGGTAGAAAAGAGATTAAACAAGGAAGCTATGGAGTAGTGATGGGGTAAGATAGTTGTCAGGGCATATGGAGATTTCCAAGGAACCAGAAAGTAGAAGCTGAAGAGACAAGGATCTTCCTTCAGAGCCAACAGAAAAAGAAAGTCTTACCCCTAGAACTGGCACTCTGAACTGGGACTTGAAGTTACCTAAACTGTGAGAAAGTAACTTTGTTTATTAAACCCATTAACTTGTAGTTATTTCTGCTATAGGAGCACTTGATAACTAAGACAGTAACCATAAATAAAAGTGTAATATTCAAGAATATGCAAGCACAACTGGTCTGTATTTGCCTGGAGCAACAGGGAAAGGAAAGTCAAAAATAGAAAGAAGAAATAGAATGTGTGGCCAATTGCCTCTATAAACAAATGATTCCTTTGTCATGACACCAGAACTGGATGGTGCCAGACTATAATTACTAAACATTTTGAGCAAAGATTCTAGAAAAGAATTCTGATCAAAAGGGGAGACATATAGAACAGAATTTCAAAATCTCATATAATTCAGTTTCTGTAGCCAATGTAGCTGGATGAATCCCAAAACAGCTGTCCTGGGATAATCTTCAAACATTAAACCAAAAATATCCCCTGAAGTCTTCTTAAAATTAAACAATAATTTATCTTAATTAGTAAAGAATGTTTGCATTATGCTCATTCAAGAACCATAATATGGGATCAAAAGTAACTCAAAAGATCAGATAGAAAAGGGGAAGTGAATTTATACTAACTGGAGGGCGAACAATTCAGAAAACTGGTTGAGCATGGTTACACAACTTGAAGTATGAAATCAATGTCACTTAACTGTACATGTAGGTACTGTTGAACTAATGTATGTACTGTTGTATGGATTATCAACAAAAAAATAAATCACAAATTCAGAATGAGATTTTACCTGTGTTTATCTTCAAAGAACTGGTGGTCAATCCTTGCATCTCCTTTGGATTGAGTGGAGAGGAGAGCATCCACTTTCATTACTAAGTCACTTGCCCTAAAAAACAGGGTTAGAGAAATTACAGTATCTCTTTAACCAAAAGTTTTTCCAATCACTGTTAAACATAAAATTATAATCGCCCAAATACTATATACTGACAAGATAGTGTGAAGAAAGCACAGAAGAAAGGCATTGATTGTACTGATAAGCATGAGATGTAGCAATGATCTCCTAAGTGATTCATTTTATACCTTAGGAGAGCTTCCAATTTCCCTTTGTGAAAGAAATACCACCTGCTTTGCATGACTTCTGTAAATATTAGATTGAAATAACATATAAACCGCTCAGGGCTTGGCCCCAAATAGGCTGTCAGTTAAGGATTATTTACATTCACCTCATCCTCTTTTAAATAACTTTATTATATCTCACGATTATTAGAATATTAAATTACTGGAATAGCATTCAGAAGGGAAAAAAAAGAATATAAAGGTAACAACTAAGGTTATACCCAATACCATCATCAAGAAATAATCACAGATAACATTTAGAAGCATGATTTTGTATTTTTAATATATGTAAAAAATGGTATCATTAACAACATATTATAAACATTATTTTTTAAGGTTAATCAATATAGGAATACATCAACATTTTTAATGAGTGTACATATTATATTTATGGGTATATTGTACTCTATTAAACCAACAAGCTATTGGATATCTAGGTTGTTTCTAATTTCATCATTAAAATCAATACTGCAGTAAACAACTTAGAAAAGCATTTTTTCCTTCCTCACCTCTCCCAAAGATGAATTTTAACTAAGATCTTCAAATAAATCATAAGGCAGAAAAAAAAATCCGTTAATCTGTTGAATCAAGGACTAGTTTTATGTAAGAGTTCTTTAAAAAGCACTTTTAAATACACTTAAACCAGAATCAAACCCACACATTTTCTCACTGAACCCAAACAACAATATCAAATTACCTCTTTTAGTTCAATTTTTCGTGCTAACTCCAAATACATATAATATAGTCTTGTGAAATTTCACTGCACAGCCACAAAACATTTCAAGGTATGCCTAGTTTGTTACATGGACTAAGGTGATCAAGCCAACAAGAGACTCCTTAAGGTCTCATGAAGTACCATGGTGCACATTACCTCTATAAACAAATGATGCCTTTGTCATGAGACCAAGGAATCACTGACATCTTCAGATAACTATAAAACAGCTTCATGCTATAGACCTGAGTCAAGAAAGTAAGCTGTGGTTTTAGTACAAGGGTCATTCACAAGTTGGAGAGCTCTTTAACTAGTGAAAACTGAAGAAGGCAAAGTAATTCTGAGAACCGAATAGATTCAACATCAATCTTTTGGCAGCTCTGAGGCTACCTTATTTCCCTAAATTCATCCAGGACAGACCCAAAGCCATTTCTGGTTGGTTAAGAGGCAAGTCTTTGAAGGTACAGTCTGGTACAGAGTCCAAGTGGTTCCCAAAAGCCTCCAAAGAAAGAGGAGGCAAATTGAAGGTATACCACACCAAGGCCATGCCCTGTGACAAGACTGCTTTAAGTCATACAGAACTGTCAGCTTGCATCAAGGGAGTATTTTATAAGCCAGAACAAGGAGCATCACTTATGCACTGAGATAGGAGGAATCATCTTTATAACTCAGTATTAACAAAGGTGAAAAGAGATGGGTTGTTATATTCCACAAGACTTGGCAGCTATTGAAGCTAGGACTTCAGTGAGACATGTCTAATGGAAACTCACTGTAGCATTGCTGTTGCTGTCGCTGTTAAGTGCTGTTGAGTCAATTCTGACTCACAGTGATCATGTACAGGATATTTGAGGAGTGGCTGGTGAATTTGAACTACCGACCTTGCGGTAGTAACAACTTTGTAGTCCAGTGCGTTATCCCACGCCGTCACACTGTAGCATAATGATATATTTTTAAAAATGAAGGAAAACCCCAGAAGTTTTTGTATATTCATGCAATGGCCCAGTGAAACTATTTTCTTCCATTAAGAGAAACTGTTGTTGTTGTTAAGTGCTGTGGAGTTGGTTTCAACTCATAGCGAAATAAGTCATTAAAATTCATTGTTGTTGCTGTTAAGTACCATCAATTCCGACCCATAGCAATCTGTACAGGGTTTCTGAAGAGCAGCTGGTGAATTTGTACTGCCGACCTTGTGGTTTGCAGTGCAGTGTTTATTCTATAGTACCCTACCATAAGTCCACAAATTTGACTAGCCAATAATAAAACTATAATAATAATAATAATAATAAATCAATAATAACCAACTCATTATAATCTTTGGAGTAAGGAAAAGAAGCAGCTCTTTATTATGAAATTGTAAATAAAGGAGAGGAAGCACAGAACCCTCCTTTCCATTACTGTACAAAATAAAACTAAAGGATAATTGAATTGGTGTTAAGGGAAAGTATCACTTTACAAAAATATTCCAAATCATAAACTAGCTCCTCTGCTTTTGCATGTGCTTAAAAATTTTTATACTAAAAAGTTTAAAAAAGAGATGAGGGGCGATTCTAATTCAGTTCTTTAAATATCATTCCATGAAGTAAATTAGCTTGTTTCAATTGAAGAGCACTATTATATCTTAATACTGGAAGAAGATCACCTTAGAATAGGTTGTTCTTGCTGTTAATCGCCACTGAGTCAGTTGCGACCCACAGCAATCCTCTACCAGGGTTCCCCAGGAGTGGCTGGTGAACTTGAACTGCTGACCTTGCAGTTCAAACTGACTTTTAAGTCCAGCACACTAACCCTCAGCGCCACGCCAGGATTCCTCAGAATAGGTAACATATACAAATAATATATTTTCCTAACTTTGCCTCTGTGGAATGTACATTTTAGTCCTTATGTCAAGAACCAAGTAACTCCTTCCACAGCAACACTTACACATCTTCTTCTACTCGAAGCTGTTGAATATGCGATTTTATTTTCTGTCCTGAAGTTTTTAGTATGATATTTTCTAGGAGGTGGAAATCATCTTGATTAAACAGTTCACTATCCTCCAGTGGCCCAATAATCTGGGAAGAAAAGAAGAACAAGGTGTTCAGTGCTAGAAAACAATCTGTAATCAGCAAACTACCAAGGCTGTCCTCAGCTGTCTTATAAATTAAAAATAGAATTCAAACAACTCATGCAGTTATTAGTTTACTTTTTACTTCCTCAATTATAATTCAAACCTTTTTTACATTTGTTTTACAGTAAAAGTAAATTCTGAAATTAAAACAAAACAGAAGCATTTAAATTAAATTGCACTAAATATAAATACACCAAAATAAAGATGCAGTAGTAAATATCAGAAAAATTTCCCCATGTACTAAGAGTCTAAAGTTTGGTAAGCTCACCGTAACCTAATTTTAGTGCCTGCTGATATTTATGAAACATTGTAAAACTAAACTTATTTAGGTCTTACAAACTACACAAACTATAAAGTAAACTTGTGAGGACATAGTTCCACAGGGACAAGTACTTTATATATTAAAGATCTTGCTGTTTTATGTAGCGAGAGCAACCACATTCTCACTACCTTACACAACTGTTGTGCTTGTGGGCCACCTAGTAGGTTCTGACTCACAGCGACCATGTATAGGGTTTCTGAGGCTGTAACCTTTTATGGAGAAGAAAGTTTCACCTTTCTCCCATGAAGTGACAGGTACATTTGAACTACTGACCTTGCAGTTAGCAGTTCAATTTGTAATTTACTATGCTACCAAGGCTCAGTAAAACACAGAAAAACAGCAAGAATGTTTCACTAGAAACTTTTAAGTTAAAAAGCATATTTTCTTTGAAATAAGGGGGCAAGAAATTATCAGCAGCATTTCATAACCCCTAATCACCTTTGGAAAAAGAATGGCTGTTTGAAGAGTTTACTAGTTTCAGAACAGAATTATGCAAGAGTTTTCACTGATTTAACTTGATGTCAACCTTGTCTCAAGACAAAATTCTCACCCTTCCATTGCTGATCACTGCTCTTTGTCCCTTCTTCAGCTTCAGAACATCCCTGCAGTACATGGTATGAGACAAAATGAAATCCATTTTGGAAGACTCAAAGACCTCTTTAAAAAGACTGAAATCCATGCCCTAGGAAAGTAATTGTTATTAAGGAAAGGTAATTGTTATTAAGCATGCCATATAAATGGATAATCATAATGAATAAATTATAGAATGTTCTTTTGGTGGAAAGTAGTAACTAATTTTAATAATTAATATTATGATGTCTCAATCTCAATGATCAAATCTCCTTCCACATCTTCCCTCAACCCCCACCAGGTATCTACTTTTCCTTTCCCTAAAATAATACATTATTCTTTATGATATCTTTATTCTGCATTTCAAAGTCTTACTAATTTTGTTTCAATTGACGGTATTTTTCTAATCAAAACTTTAAGTATTCTCATCATTTTATAAGAAAAATTTTAATATTACAATGCTATTTCATATTTGGAAAACATTAGCACTTAAGACTCTAACTTATAAGTGACTAAAATCTGGTTTTTGTCCTATAGAGAAATCATATATTGCCTGTCTCTTAAACACATTGCAAAAAAATGGCTTTGGGTTTAAAAAATACAGACTTACACCAGGCCCATCTTGAAACTTAACAAGTTTAAAAGTAATAAAGGAACTACAGCAAACTGCTATTTTATTTAAAAGTTCTTCCAAATTTTTTTTTTTTTTAAGTTCTCTTAGACGAAAACAAAACTCACAAATAGATGTGATCATACACAGGACCCCTCAGCCCTGTGGAGTGACTACCAGGATAACAACAGACTGGTAACACTTGAGGAAAAGCATACTTACTCCGACAGAGAATGCTGTGATATCAGCCCCTGTGGCCAGGGACACTGCAGTCTCCTCCTTGGCCATTTTGGTGATGAAGTTCTTAGCAGAGTTTGAGGTCTGTGTTTGGAGGGCTGCCCAGATTGCTCTGGAGATCTGCGTGTTCTCATAACTTATATCTTCACTAGGATTATTTATGATGCTTAGCCTCACATTGTTACTGGATTTCTATGGACAAAATGGCAATTAAAAATCTTATGGTAATCTTCACTCAATTCACAATAAAAAGTTTTTAAAAAAATTACATGGTAGTGTTCTGAACTTACACTATTAACATTAATCAAATCCCATTAAATAAAGACTTCCTTAAAAGTCTTCAGAATTTCTCTTCTGCATACAGAATAAAATTCAAATGCCAAACTAAGTATTCAAAATCCTATATGAGGTGGCTCTGACCAACTTTTCCAACCTCATTTCTGACCATCCTTGTAAATATAGCTACATTACAGGCCATCAGAGTCATATCAAATTTTGTTTTCTCCTAATATATCAATCTTTTCATTGGAACATCCACCCAGACAACATCCCAGTTTTACTTTCTGAAGTTCCGAATATACTTTTTGTTGTTGTTGTTGTTAAGTGTTCCAACTCATTGAGCCTGTATAGGGCTTCAGAGGAGGAGGCTGGTGAGTTTGAACTGCCAGTCTTGCGGTTCAAACCAACCTTGCAGTTCGGTGCATTATGCTGCAGCCCCATACCAGGACTTCAAATATACTTTTAGAGGTACTAAATAAATTGCTAAGGCCCTTTCAGACTCCCAGTAAAAATTAACCTCGCCATACGAAACCATGTGGAAGAAGGTATTTGGGATTAATACAACAAAAAAAGCATCAAGAAAATGTGTAACATATATTCATACTTATTGCATTAAAAGACATGTATGAGAATATTCACGGCAGCATTCCTCTTAATAATTTAAGAATTAGAAACAAGCCAATTATTTGTCAAATTAATTAAAGTCACAAGGAAATAAAACTTCATGGTATAGCCATATAATAGAACAACACTACTGGTGTGGCGCTGTAGGATAAGCATAAGTAACCTCAAGGTTGGTGGTTTAAACCCCACCAGCCACTCCTGGAAACCCTATACAGGGTCACTTTGAGTTGGAATTGATTTGCTGGCACTAAACAACAACACAATGACAAAGAAACAGAAAAGAACATTACTATTTTCTACACTATGGATGAGTCTCATAAAATACTAAGTACAGATACCACACACAAAAGAATATATACTGGAAGACTCTGTTTAAGTAAAATTGATATATAGGCAAAACTATTCAGTAAGGTAAGAAGGGCAAGAGGATAGTGATTGTGGGTACATCCAGTGTAAAGCTTCTGGAAATACAATACTTCTCTATTTCTTGACCTGAGTGGCAATCACATGAGTTTTTACATTTTGAAACACTATACTTCTTTATGCCTATATTTTACTTCAATTAAAATATTTATCTTAAAAATTGAGTTATCCTACTTTACCATTTATCACTCTGCATTAGAATGCGTTATACATACCTGCATGGACCATACATGGTGTGGTGCTGAGGATCAACCACAAGGTCGACAGTTCAAATCCACCAGCTGCTCCTTCCAAACCCTACACAGTGTCTCACTATGATTCAGAATCGACTCAACAACATATATGCCCTAGTGGCACAGTGGTTAAGGTTATTGACTGATAATCAAAAGGTTGAAAGTTTAAACCTATCAGCTACTCTGTGGGAGAAAAATGCGACAGTCTGCTTCACCAAATATTAGAAACCCATGGGGTAGCTCTACTCTATCCTCTAGGGTGCCTATGAGTCAAAATTGACTCAATGGCAGTGGATTTAGGTTTGGTATACATTATCTTTTAATTCCATTTTTCTAACAAATCTTTTGAAGTCGCCTGGTATATCTATCATACTCCTGGTGTGGTGCTGTACAATAAGCACTGGACTGCGAACCTCAAATTTGACAGTTCAAACCTTCAAGCTGCTCCTTGGAAAATCTACACAGGTCAGCTATGAGTTGGAACCAACTCAACATTTAACAACCACCACCACTAAAACAGTAACTTTCATTTGGGTTGTACAGATATTCAGTGCTTTAAGAAACTGAAATCACCTAGATATATCCTTATTTCAGTGAAGCTTCCTAGGCCACAATGTGGAAAAGTGTATTGTGAGATCTGGATGAAGATCCAATTTGAAACAGCTCAGAAAATAGACATCTAATATTCTCTGACAGTGCAACTCTCTGTAAGAATGAAACTTTCAACCATTCACTGCCATTCACTCAAATCCTGCTTTTATGTGAAGTGTATTTTTCAGAGCCTTTTGATGTGTATTCATCGACATACCCAGATCTATTTCTATATGAAAGCACATCCATTTGCTTATATGGTATTTTTCCCACATCAGGCCTCACTCTATATAAGGACTCATACACAGTTTACAACTGTAGCAAGAATATAAGCAGTCACATAATAAAACCTTGTCTATGATGAGATCTCACTGTTTTTTAAAAAAATCTAGTCTCTTAAAGTCAAAATACTGAAATCTCTTCTTGATTTTCTTAGTAGTAGGCAGATTTCTGAAGAAAAATTGATACTTTCTCATAAGTATTAAGGACATATGACGGCCATCTCCCCACTAGACCAATTACATAATATAACTATACCCTCAAATGAAAATACTATGCAGTTATATACACTTGCCTGATGTTTGATAGCATCATATAATAACTGTCTTCCAGAAGGCCTATCAAAATCCCCAACAATCCAAAAAGTTATTGGCCTAATAAAAGAATCATCTGTAGGAAAAGAAAAACATAAGTTGGAGGGGGAAAAAAAGGGATAATCTAGTACCCAACATTCTTATTATGTCAAATGATTTCTGAAAACATGCAAAAATATAAGAAAATGACAAGTTTAGTAACGATACAAAGAAAAAGTCATGAAAATTTTATGTAAGAATTAAAGTTGAGCAGCCTTCTGTGTGATTTGATTACAAACTAGGAACATGCATTGATTAATTCTATTTCTGGTTTTGGTATCCATTAGCATGTAAAGTACAAAAGTCTTTAAACATGTAAGTAACATATTATATACCTACTCCTCACTTATTGGTTATCTCATTATCTGACATTTCTCAATTATGATAATATTTACATGTAGCAATTAGAAAATTTGAGGTACTAGGTAAAGACTAACACTGGCAGTGAAGGTTAAGGTTATGTGCCAACTTGGCTGGGCCATTACCGTCAGTGGCTTGGCAGCTATGTAATCTGGGAGTTATGCAGTGATGTAATTTGGCAGATATGTAATGAGGTAATCATTTTTCATTTTCACATAATGTCAATTTTTTAATAATAAGCAGATCTTTGAAATGTGACCATGTTGATAAGTGAGAAGTGGGTACAACAATTTTCAATCCTAATAGTTTGTAACCTGATAAAACACAATTCTTTACAAAGCTTTATCTGCATTGATAAAGTCATTGGAACTCACAGGTTCCAGAAATATTATAATAAAATACTATATAATTCTGAATTATAATGGTTTCTGAAACCACATAAGATAATTAAAATTTTAAGTTACCATAGATTTCCTTGGAGGACATTCCTGGGCAAAAATAGAGGAAAAAGAGCAAAAGAGAAAAAAATATCATTGTTTTAACTAATGCCTACTATTAGAGTCCAAGCTCTAATTATTGAAGATAATAACATGACCTATGTGTCTTTCTCTTAACTCCCATACTTGAAACAGATTTTTTAAAAAGCAGAAGCTCCCACATCACCATAGAGATTTTGTTCTGAGGGACAACTGTCTATACTTATGTATATTTGGGAAATCAAAATTTTTTTTCTGGGAGTGGAATACAGAAAGGATTTGCCAAGCACTGTAAATGATAGTCAGTTCTCTGAAAGGGCAATTAAGTATGACTAATCTGAAAATAATCTGTCCCCAATTAAAAGGGCAACATTTTATATAACGTTAAGTCTAATAAAATACTACATAAAAACAAGTTTAAAAACATACAAAGCTTTCTAGAACTAAGTTTATCATATGAACAATCTTTTTACCTAATGTCAAAGATGCAAGCCCAATCAATTTTTAAATTATTAACCCATTTTAACTCCATATCTTTCCTTTGAGCCACAAAAGCTTTTCCTCTTAGATTTTAATATGTAATATAATATTTATAAAAGGAACACTGGTATTTTTAAACATATACAAAGAATTAAATTTTAGAAAGGTATTTACTAGGCTTACTGCATTATAAGAAAAAATAAAATTATGAATTCTCCTTCTCAACAGACACTAAAGGTAAAATTACTGAAAAAATTTTAAATGATAAATCTAAAGTATGGCTAAAATGGATTACCTTTCTTTGTCAGATAGTTCATACTATTGGCTACAGCAGCAGTTTTGCCTTGAGAATCCAAGACAGTAAATCTAGCATAATCATCCACAAAGAAGTTATCTGAAAAATTAAAATAGATTTATAACTAATTTATCTCAGTTCAATTCAATGTTATCATACCATAATATTTATAAAATACATATAACAAATAATATAACAACTTGTTATTATCTTCACAGAAAATAAGGGTCATTTTTTCATTTTAGAGCACTGAACTGCTAACCACAAGGTTGGCAGTTCAAATCCACAAGTTGGTCCTCAAAATCCCTACACAGAGTTGCTATGAGGCAGAATAGACATGGGGACACTAGACTAAACAACAACATTCTTTGCTTAGTGCCCAAGGGCAATGTGCTTATTATTCAACATTTCCCCTGGAATTGCTAAAGTCCCAGTCTATCAAGCCATTCCCTTGCATTAAACAATACCCAGCAATCTTTTCCTATGAAATAAATGGTCTCCAGTCTAGAATCATAAACCTTTTGGTCCCAGAAATCTCTATATCGGTATGTGGTACTTGTTGTTGTTGTTAAGTGTTGTCAAGTCGATTCCGACCCATAGCAACCCTGTATAGGATTTCCAAGGAGCAGCTGGTGAGCCTGAACCACCGACCTTGCAGATCAAATGACTTTGCAGTCTGACACATTAGTCCACAGTGTCACACCTTGTTGCTGTTGTCAGGTGCCGTTGAGTCGGAACCGACTCATAGTGACCCCATTCTCAGCAGAACGAAACAATGTCCGATCCTGGGACATCCTCACTACCGCTGCCACACTTGA